AGCGCGCGCAGCGCGGGGTGGCGAGGCCCATCGGCCGCGACCGCGGCTGCCATGCGGGCGAGCGCGGCGCAGCCGGCGGCGGCGGCGGCCCCTGCGCTATCGGCGTCACGCCCGCCGCTCAACGCGGCCGCCGCCCCTTCCACGTCGCCCGCGGCTGCCTCTGCCAACATCGCCCTGATTCCCCAGTCCCCCGGCCCGCCCCTGCACACCAGCGCCGCCGCCGCAGCCAGCGCGAGCGCCGGCAGCTGGACGGCCGCTGCGCCGCCGCGGCGCGGCCGCAGCGGGCCGGGCGCGCCGGCGGGGGCCGCCAGGTCAGCAGGCAGCAACGCGCGCTGCTGCACGGGCAGGCGCGCGAGGCGCTCCAGTAGGGATGCATCGGCGGGAGCGGCAGCAGCAGAGCCGGTGTCGAGCGCAGCCACTTCTAATGCGAACGCCTGGGCGAGCAGCCACCCGAGCAGCGCCGCGTCGCGCGCCGCCGCCGAGAGCCGCGGCGGCGCGGGCGGCCGCGCAAGCGGCAGCGCCGCAGGCCACGCGCACGGGCGCGCGAGCTGCTGCGGCCACAGCTCCGCGGCCGCCGCCTCTGCGGCGGCAGTCACGTGCAGGGCCGCGGCGGGGCCGCCGTTGGCGATGTGTTGTGCTGCAGCCGCATCTGAGGGGTAGGGCAGCCCGAGCCTGATGCACAGGGCGTCAAACGCGGCCTGCGCCTCAGCTGCCAGGTGCCCTGTGACGGCAAAGCCCCGAACATAGGCCTGCCTCCAACCCGCAGCCAGCGCCGCCCCCAGCGGCCGCCCCCGCCGCAGCAGCGCGCCCGCCGCGGCCGCCCATGCGCGCGCCTCGCGCGCGCCAGGCGCGCGGCGGTGGCTGCGCACGCAGGCGGCGGAGAGAGCTGAGTGGGCGGCGGTCATCGCGCGGATGAGCGGGCCCCCGATGACGCCCTCGGACACGAAGACCGACTCCAGATCTTCCAATCCAGGGGCGCACCACGAGATCTGGATCTCTGCAGGGACCGACGCCTGCAATGGGATCAGCGGATACAGGGGGGGGGGGGCAGGTGTGGAAAGTGAAGGTCTGGGCAGAGGGAGGGGCCGAGAGTGGCGCGTCGGGCGTGGGCCAGAGCGAGCGGTTGCTGTTGAGGTTTGAGGTTGCTCAGGGTTTAAGCTGGGTGGGATGACGTGGCATCAGTATCAAAGTTTTTGGTTATGTTTTTGCTCCCACAGGTGGGTCGAGCAAAGGGGTGTGATCATCCCATGCCAGCCTCCAGTCCAGATGCAAAACAGTCCAGTGCAATGCACTCAAGCAGGTTGTGAGCAACAACACAGGCAGGCCGGACGGTTCAGCGCAAGCAAAGCGTGCATGCGGGCAGGTGTCGCATCAGTATCAAAGTTTTTGGTATAAGTGTTTTGCCCCCAGGGTTGGGTCGGGCAAAGAGATTACTCATCTTATGCGACGGCCCAGTGGCCTCAGGTATTCTAACAGCAGCCCCCACAACCACATTGACAACCACGTTGCAGGTGGGCCTTTCCAACAGAAAAACACCACGCCACCACCCCTGCCGGCCCGCGCAAGTGGTTCGATCCCAAACACATCAGCCCCACACGACACAGAGCAACTCCCCAACCCGCCCACCTGCGCGCCCGCGCCCGCCGCCCCTGCCGCCGCCGCGCCGCTCGCGCCGTCCGCGCCCGGCGGCAGCACGAACACCTCTATCCCGCGGTTCCTCATGGCCCGAGACACCTCCCCATGCCGCGGGTCCAGGCACAGGATCAGCCTGAAATCTGGGTGCGGCGAGATCACGCGACCGCCGCCGCTGCCGCCGCCGCCGGCCTCCGACAGCTGCAGCACGCCGCCCGGCTCGAGCAGAGGATTTAGGCGGTCCAAGACCGTCGGGTTGCAGAGGTTTGCGTTATCCAGCAGCACCCAGCCGCCGCGCTCGACGGCGCGCGTCAGGCTACCGTCCACCCACTCGAAGCGCCCCGCGGTCGAGCGGCCGCCGGGCGCGGCGAGCGCCGCGCGCGCCGC